CAGGAATGACCCCAGGTGGTCGTCCTGTCCTGTCGCCTCCAGGGTCAAACCCAGGTGCCTTGCTCTGCATCTGCTCTTACACCTTCGGCTCAGCCCCCTCCCGCCTCGCTTCCCACAGCCCCTCCGCACCCACCAACCGGTCCCCTCCGCTGAGAGCTGGGCCCCGAGTCTCCCATGCCCCTTCCCATCACATTGGTGCTGGGATCACGGCTTCGCAAACTGGGTGCCGGGCCGATCCGGACTGATCAGCGGCAGGGCCCTTTCCACGCTGTTCTCTCCCTCCATTCCCCAACCCAAGCCAGGCCAGGCCCCCAGGGCACACTAGCCCCACAGGGATCTTTCCAGAATGCCAATGAGATTATGCCCCTGGCCCATTTCGCTCCTAGTGGCTCTCAGCCTCTCGGACCTCATTGCCTTCTGCCTCCTCAGTCTGTCCAGGTCTCTTTATGAGACTGCACCCCACACCCCGCCCCCCCGCCCGTCTGCTGCCCCCTTCCTCCCACAGCCCTCCTGGCTCGCTTCTCCCTCCGCCCATCTCCGCCGTCCTGGTGAGCTCCCGAGTTTGAGGACTGAGTCGTCACCTTTGCCACCTGAATGTCCACGCGATGGAAGACGGACTCTTCTCCCACCTTCCCGCAACACCGCGGTGAGAGCCGCGCCATCTGCTTTCTCCAGAACAGGGAGGACTGGTAGGAAGGAGGGCCACTTTCTTACTCGGCTGGAAACTGAGTTCTCCAGACCTGCGTGCTCTGGCCCAGGTTCCGGCCTCGGGGCAGCTCCCTGCCCCTCTGCCCAGCCAGCTGCTCCTCCTCTCCCTGGTGCACAGAGCCTCCCTGCGTCAGTCTCTTGGCACCTTTTGTCATTTTCGTTACTGCACAATCGAGCGTCTCACAGGAGTCTCTCGTCACTCCTCTGCGTGGAGGTGGCCCTCGCTCGCCATTGCTTGAAGAATGGAACCCTGCCACCACTGAAAACTGCATCTAACAACAGATGATCTTTAACATCAGATTACAGTTTAAACATCTGAAATGACATGCAAAACCTAAAGCATTTTTTAATAGCAGGAGGAGTAAAAGGTTCCTACAAGAAGGAGAACGGGAGAAAAACAAACAAACAAAACCACGTGATGCTCACAATTCTGTGTTTAGATCTATTTCCTCCGCTACATTCTCCTGGGTTTTCTCAGGGGAGGTTCATCCCCGGGTTCCCTTTCTCTTTCGACTCTGTGAGTACCCCAGTAAAGATCCCATATGATTTCGATGGGAGGAAAGAGATCATCCTGGAAGTGAGTACAATGTATTTGCTTTCTTAGGTTGCACATGCAACCTCAAGGGCAGAAATGCCTTAAGTCAAGTTTTCAAAGAAAAATTTCCAAGTCTATATGGTCGAACCTATTGTATCTGTCATTTGTGTTCTGGGAGCTAATACCACAGTGATTTTTACTTTCTATTTTTATGGGTTTTTCTTTTTTTGGCCTACAAACATCTTTCAAAGTCAGTAATTAAAAATCATATGGAGAATTTGGGGGCCCAGGAAATAATCAGGAGTCATTAGGAAAAGTGGGCTTCTAAAATAACCTCACGTGCATGGGGGTCTCACCCTCCTGTCCCCAGTGGAGGGGTCTTTTTTATAAAGTAACCCCTTTTTTTTCTGGCGTCTTTACTTTTGTCTTTTCTGAGTTCTTCCTCAGTCTATAAATATCCCCAAGTTCCTCCCATCTTAAAACAAAACCCAACCCCTCCCCCAGCTCTGCATCCCCACCCCCTCAGCTCATCCTGCTCCTTCTCTCTCTCCCTCACTTTGCCTCCTCAGCAAAATTTCTTGAAGGCCCTGCCCGACAGCCTTCACTTCCTCCCTGCCAGCCAGCTCAGCTCCTGTCTCCGGCTGCACTACCGCTCCCCAGTCCCCGCCCCCAAGTCCCCGCCCCCACAGTTGGCTGAGGGGGGTCCCCTGGCAGAGGGGTTCTAACCTACCCTCCCAGCTCACCAGCAGTACCCATTTCCTCCCCCATTTCAGGCTGTGCACTGTCCCACACACTTTTTCCCCTCTAATGTTCAGATCATTTCAGATTTTATTGTCTTTTAGAAAAGGATACAAAAGTAAAACAAATGAATAGAAAGTATCTTCAATTGAAGATTAACTTGTGATATCTGCCTTAGGACATTCTTTTTTCTCTCAAAAATATTAAGACGGCTATAGCCATGCCACCCTGAACGTGCCTGATCTCGTCTGGTCTCAGGAGGTAAGCAGGGTCGGGTCTGGTTAGTACTTGGATGGGAGACCACCTAGGAAGACCGGGTGCTGTAGGCGTAAAAAATAAATTAATAAATAAAAATATAAATAAATATAAATATATACATGGAAAGTTGTCCAGAAAGGTATCTGCCCATCTAGTGTCACACTAGACTACGACATTGTCTGACAAGCCACCTTAGTTATGGAGTGACCAGATCCGAACCTTGCACATTTAGCCGTTAATTTGTAAGATTAGTCACTAAAACATGATTTTTGTCTGGTAGAGATGCAAATGAATTTCGTCTAGTACAAATGAGAACCCCAAAAGTCTGGTTTCATTGGATCTTGAGCATCAACTGGATTTGCATGGAACTTCGCAGTCTGTTTCAGCCATCTTTCCCTCATCGACTACACATGGCCTGCTTCTGGCATCCTCCTTTGAAAGTGTTCATCTTGAGTTTAAAACATTGTTATATTTTGAAAATGGTATTGTGGGAGAATTCGGCTTTTGCTTAGTGATTAGGTGAGGGCTGACCCTAAACTGCTTTTGCAAAATAACGTTCACCGTAAAAGATTGTAAAGCGAGTCACGTAACAGCGAAACGTTAAGGCCAACCGGCACTGCTCCGATTGCTCCAGGTCTATGACTTGCTCATTCCCCTGGCTTCTCCGAGGGGAGAACGGACCAGAGCTACCCGGGTCACGCGGCCGGCGAGCAACGGGGCTGGGGCTGGCTCGGCCCGCGCACCGGACAGCTGGGCTTTCCTCTAAAAGCCTGTCATTAGGGGACGCGGGTTGGGGCACCGGAGGGCAGGAGGCTGAGCCGAGTGGGGGAGCCAGTCCCCGCGCGCCGAGCGCACATCGCGGGGTGCAGGGCGCAGCG